TTGTTGTTAGATATTAAATTAATGGATTTATTTTAAACTAATAGTTAATGATTTATTTTACATACGAAAGGACTTAAGATGTGACCACACAATAAGTGTCGGATTCCTTCTAAAACGTCCCACAAAGGTCGACATTTGGATATTCTCGTGCTCATTTCGTAAGAACGTGCATCCGCCATTGATCTAGATAATTGGCCATTCGGTCCACGTACGCTTTTGTTTTCTGAAAATGTGAACGATAAATCTTAATAATTTAATAATTTAACTTTAACGTGAAAATATTTTCTATCTTATGGATAAGAAATAGCCACAACTTTATATTTTTTTTAATCTACAAGAATATTTTTAGCATGTCGCCCACCATTGAGCTATCTTTTCTCCCTGATGATCTATATAATATTGTATAGTTCGGAGATGAGAGATTGATTGATTAACTTGACGCCAAAGAGGTTGCACTTTCAACTCCAGAACTGCAAGGCGATACACCAAATCGTCCTGGAATTTCATTAGAGGCTTCACCCGTCTCAATGTCAGATCGCGCATTGTTATCCCAATGCTTTGCAGTTCTCTGGCAATACTTCTATCTTGCAGCTGACGGGATATATTGTCTAACTGATTGGACATTGTAGTCAAATCTTTATTTAAAATTGGTCCTTGAATCTGCAAATATAGAAAATATTAATAAAAATATTTGGAAAATAATATTTATATCGAAAGTCGCTTTTAGAGAATATTATATAAGAGAATATTATATTAAGACTATTATATTAAAATAAATATACACGTGTATGGTATGTGCATTGTGTACTTGATGAATTGACGATGCTATATACATGCAACTAAATACATTTTAATTAGTGGCGGCATTGAAGCATAATCATGGAAACAACTCGCTATGAAATTCGTGTCGTTTATCATACTAGCCATCTAGTATTACGTAGTTACGCAGCTACGTAATTTGTTACTTTCCTTTAATATGCTAGTAAATTTTTCAAGAAAATTCTTCAAGCTATGTTGAGTAATCCCGAGCTTTAATCAAATTGATAAAGTCAAGTAAAATTTTCGTTTATATTATGTTATATAAAAATATATGTTTTGCTTTTACTTGAGAAAATAGAAAAATAAAAAATCAGAATAATATGAGCAGAGTAATCCATAAGTAAACGAAAATACCATTATTCTGTGCGCCGTGAGATTTAAACCACAAGCATATAATAAATCCTGAAGCCGCAGATTTGGCGTTAATATTCGGAGACCTTTCAAATCAACTTTGATATTTGAAATTGCTTTAGACAAGCTTATCCATGTCCAATGCGCAGTCAAATGTTCTAGTTTTATCGTGTTTCCAGCCCGAAGGCGGGATAAACTGCCTCGTTGTTTCGACATTTTCTAAAAATAAATATAACTGTTGAAAACTGTAACACATATTGTGCAAAGCTCCACTCATTGTATTTGTCTTTTTAGCCTGAGGGGTACTTAATCGAAAAATATAGTTAAAATTATGATATTATGCGTTGACTGTGTGTATAGTCTATAGTTAAACTATGTAGGATTATATTGAATGTGAATGACGTAATTTTATTAAAATACGTGACATTTTGTTTTTGATAAAAATATGAAAAGATTCTTTTATTTTTAATTACGACTGAAATATGACAAAATTATAATATTATTTAAAAAATCTGTACTTTTAATATATAACTTATTGTAGCAGTATTATATGCATCGTAATTTCAGTTTAACCTACTTCTTTTGAGATAAGATCTGTGTAAAACTTGATTGGCATGATTACAGCAACATAGCTTACTCAAAGAGCTCCTTGAGGGAAACTTCGAGCCTTCTTCCCAAAAACGCTCGGGTTTCCAGCACGGCTTCCATAATACGATAGTCAGGATCATAGAGAGGCCGACATATTAACATTTCCGTATGGCTGGCGATGCCCAGAGTGACGATAAATACTGACCATAATGTAATTGAGACAAAACAACTCATAACCACTCCACTGAAATTCGATAGATAGCCTGATGATTTGTTTTATTAAATTTATAGGATTACGTCTGATTAAACTGTTTGGAATCGCATATTAATAGATTAAATAATAATCTACAGTATAAATATTTATTTATATTGTAATATTATTAATTTTGTAATATTGATGTTTATTGTGTAATAAGATATTTAGAGTAATTTTTTATTTTTAATAACACATTATTTTAATAAATTTCAATTAAGATTTATATTATATATTGTGTATATATATATATATATATATATATATATATATATATATATAGATATAGATATATATATATATATGCATATATAATATAAATGTGTATTTTAAGACAACATTTAGCAATATTTAAAAACAAATCTAATATGTAAATTTAATAGAATAAATCAAATAATTAATCAGATAATTAACTTCTCTATTTAATAATTGTTCCATTAAGTACAATAATAGAATTATTACACAAATAGGATAAAATCTCGTTTAGTATAACATTTTATAACAAAAAAAAGAATAAGAATTTCATAATATATTAAAGTAATGCTTACCACAAAAGAATTGGACGTACTTTATTTTTGGACCGCCAGCGATAACACAAAGCTCCAATGAGTAACAAAAAGACCGGTAGAATACATAAAACACTAGCTGCACATTGCATAAGCAAACCAGAAACATACATTATTCTTCGTTAGTTATTTGCTCATAAGTGAAGTATAGTATATATTGTTATTCTTTTAAGTGAAATTACAATGTATCACAGATAGCAATGACTTTAATTATAAGTATAGCACAGTGTACACGCAATAAAATTTTACTATTTATAAACCGAATCAATTAATAGTAGTGACACATTTTTTGATCAAACTTTATTATTATAATTATAAGTAAAACATAAGATAAAGGAGAGCAAATAAATGTGAACAGTTTCACTGAAGATCAATGAAATAATTATGTCACTGTTTTAATCAATGATATGTACATACATATATTTTACTCGTCGTTAGAAAAATATTAAAATTATTAATTATTTTAAAGATTAAAAATTAAAAATATTATTGTAATATATATTGAAAAAATGCATACAGAAAATGTCTATAAAAATGTGTCTAACTTTTGGATAACAGAGTTATCCTCTTAAATTGTTTATTTCACATGCAGAGATGCTTTCTATGATCTCCGCGATCGTTTTCCAAATACCAGGATGAACTCGGTGAATAACGGAAAAATATTCAATGTAATCTTGAAAAATTCTACGTACCTGTGCCAACGATCCACCTGATATGCTCGAAAGCGATGATACGAGGAATAGCATAATCCGTGATGCTTCTCACAGAATCCAGCTGCTTTGAGAGTTCGAAACTATTCGTCTCTATACTGCGCGTTTGCTCGACAATCCTGGCACGTGCTGCATTGATCTCACGCCGAATCTCTACGGCAATATAGAATTTTTCTACGTTTCTGTCATCTCAATTTTCGTTATTTGGTGTTGCTTACGGATATTTGGACCAAGAAAAAATAGTTATAAAAAAATACACACTAAAAATATATTCTTAATATTTTCTACTTTTTCGGATTTTTAAACAAAAATATCAACTTAATTTATTTTTGATACAAAATTTTACATATATATATATATATATATATATATATATATAAATTTCGATATTGTTATAACAGTTATATACCGCGCACCAAGATTTTCAAGACTCAATAATATTAACTCAATAATATATCTCAACAATAGTCATTAGATTGTGTTTCACTGTTCTGGCAAACAAAATTTTTTGCATAATTTATGTATGTTAGCTAAAATTATTATCAAATAATTAAATACAAAAGATAAATACGTAGATTAACAAATGTTTAAATATTATTCGTCAATTTAATAAATTAATTTAATAATAAAAATATACAGGAAATATTCGATCTTATATCAAGTGTACAGATATATTGTAACAGAATATTTTAACAGTAAACTTGTCTCGTAACAATCCAGTGTTCTTCCTGAACGTTAGAACAGCTTGGCAGAGCAATCTCGATCGACAGACATTAAACTAGTTCGACTTTATCATCCCGGTAACGGGACGAATCTTTACAAATTTTTTGCGACTTTTTTTCATGAAGTAATATTAATACGATATGGATTTCGCATTAGATCCTGGCCGTCATCTCCCTATCTCCCTATCTGTCTACCGATGGATGGTGACGGGCGACAAGCATTATTGGTCGATGGCGAGTTAAGAGAAGTCGACAAGAGTACAAGCTCGCGTCGCTTCGGTTCATCGACATTCCAACGGCGTAACATCCATCATCGTTTCATGAGGAATATTCTCCATTTTCTTTATTAATAATCTTTGGAATTTTTTCCGTTTCATTAATGGGAAAGCAATGCTCATTATTCAATAATATGAACATTTTATACAATGATAAATTATTAAATTAAGGCCATGTGTAACGAGCAATACGATATTATTTTATTATTGAGAAGAAAATTCTAATTTGAAATAATAATTATACAAACGTTTCGAGCTCTACTTGCTCCTCTTCAGTGCGCAAAAAAATAGTGATAATAAATAACGATAATAAATAAATACATAAAATTCTAATAAAAAATCCGCAATACATAGTCAATATAAGTTATATAGTTGAGTCATAGTTAAAACGCAAAATATATTTACAATGAATTGAGACCATTAAAATAGTTCAACAAAGTAAGAACCCAATTAGAAGCAGAATGATTCGTCCGGTTATTCATAAAATATATTAGAATTATTAATAAAAACTTGGAGTGACACTTATACATTACTCCAAATGAACCACTTATCGTTATTTGACGAAGTCCCTCGATCTGGCAATGATTATGTTCATCCTCTCCAAATTATTAGATATTTGTTAAAAATTGTTCCGAATAACTTGAGATGACAATGCTTCCAATTGTTGTTGGCCTTATTGTTAGTACTTGACTGTTGAACAGACAAGCATTGTCATCTCAAGTTATTCGGAACAATTTTTAACAAATATCTAATAATTTGGAGAGGATGAACATAATCATTGCCAGATCGAGGGACTTTCGTCAAATAACGATAAGTGGTTCATTTGGAGTAATGTATAAGTGTCACTCCAAGTTTTTATTAATAATTCTAATATATTTTATGAATAACCGGACGAATCATTCTGCTTCTAATTGGGTTCTTACTTTGTTGAACCTTTAATGGTCTCAATCATTGTAAAATATTTGCGTTTTAACTATGACTCAACTATATAACTTATATTGACTATGATTGCGGATTTTTTTATTAGAATTTTATGTATTTATTTATTATCGTTATTTATTATCACTATTTTTTTGCGCACTGAAGAGGAGCAAGTAGAGCTCGAAACGTTTGTATAATTATTATTTCAAATTAAGAATTTTCTTCTCAATAATAAAATAATATCGTATTGCTCGTTACACATGGCCTTAATTTAATAATTTATCATTGTTTTTATTGTCATACGAGCTTGAGCATTGGTATGTGATGTTTTGATTAGGTATTAATTTTGCATAACATTTTATAATGCCTATCAATATTTATTAATATTATCGTTATTATTTGAAAATATTTTTAATATCAATTTGTAGAGGCGAGCAAATTATATACGTGTATTCTATAAAGTTACAGATATTTAATGCAAAAACAATGATTTATAATAGAATAATTAAAAAGCCAAATGATTGTATACCAATAAACATTGATTTAAAAAAAAGAAAATTTTGAATTTAGAAAAAAAAGAACATTATTAATTTAAAATTTTTGTATGCATCAAAAATGGTTCTAAACTATTTTGGTTTAGCATCTTAATGTATTTTTGCATCCGTAAAATATTGTTTTTAATTTAAGAACGACTTATATTTTAACTCTAGATTTTTAATTATCTATATAAAAAATGACGAAAAAATTTATAAATATTACTATCGTACATTTACAATAATATACAATTTCTATTTCTAAATTATACTACAAAAGTTATCTTATTAATATTACAAAGCATACATATCGGAATCTAGCAGACACAGAGTAAGTAGAATAGGTCCGTGACATTGCCCGACACGACAGGCCGTCAAAACGCGACTCTTTCAGCATCAATCATAGATCCCATCGCGAAAGTTTATACGGGTGCCTCGGGAAAGATATATAACACGTTCGCGATATCTACCAAGATGTTTGCTCAAAGCATTTACCGCATTCGTTTGTCTATTAAGGATAAAGTCCTCTGACTCTCCCTTTTTCGCCGTCGATCTCGTGCTCATCGCACTCTGGGGCAGAATTGCTGACGCGTATTCCCTCGTCCTGTGACGAAATATCGTTTATACAGTACTACATGGGAAAAGAGTAAAAAGGGCAAAAACGTGTGCTATTGAAAAACGTGACATTCTGCGCTAAACTACCTGATCTAAAGAATGACGAAGAAGAAGGAAGGGAAAAGTTTAATGGAATTTTTTTTAACAAAGTGATTTAGTCGTGCATGTGAATATCTTATAAGCTTCTTTTCATTTGGTTAACATTTTTATGCTTGCATATAATTTTAAATGAATATGAGATACGTGCACATGAATATATTACATTTTTCAACTAATACATGTGTAATTATATAATTATATTATTTTAATTATTATTTAAATTATTATTCAAAAAATTTAAATACATTTTTAAAATATCGTTTAAAAATATCATATTTTACAGTGACAAATTTTATTTTAAAATAGTTATTTTTTTTACATGTTGTAACATAAATTGTTTCTTTATTAGTAATCTTACTTTAAAAATAACTGCAAATATATATGTATTCAAGATATTGCTAAATTCATATGTATTCTATATAATACTAAAAATTAATATATGAATTGTATCGTTTGGTAACTATATATTAACATTTTGGAAACTCTTATGCTTCAAGATAAAGTTAATATTATTATATAAATTTACAAATAAAGTAAATTATTTATAAAGCTTGTAAAGAAGAAGTGAAACTGTGATCTTATATAGTTCAAAAATTAAGAAGTTTAAGAAAGTTTAAGCAAGAATAAAAAATATCTTTAAAAAAAGTCTATCTAATTTTATCGTACAAATTAGATTAAATATAAATTTTGTGATATAAAATAAATAAAGAATATTATAGCTGTCACATTATTAACTCTTCTGGCATCGATTCATAGAATTATTAAAATATCAAAATGCACTTTAATAGAACAAATTTTTCACTTTTTAAATTTTGTTCACAAAAAGATATGATCTAATTTAACCTGGATTTGTTTACCTTTAAGTTATAATACGGCTTAACATCACTGTTACCGAACAATATACTATAGATATCGATAAATATGATGCAAAAACAAGGAAAAAGAGAAGGAGAAAAAAAGAGTAGAAGAACAGTGGAGATAACGCACATTATGAATCTACAAAAAGAGTATCTTCTTCGAAACTTTACTTTTTTATTTTATCTTCTAGTTCCTTGATATTGGCTTTATGTCGAAATAATGTCTATGAAATATTATGTAAGAATTCCAAAAAAATTTTAAAGTTTGATATTGTTGGCTTTTTGAAGTACATGCAGCGTTCAAAACAAATTATATAATTGTGTATAGTATTTCCTATATGAAAAATCTATTCTTAACTTTCTTTGTTCCATCTAAGTCAGCTTTCTTTGCCGTTATTCCTTCCGTGAAAGTTTTCTAGTTATACGAAGTGCTGATATCGATAGTTAAAATAGTGAGAACTCGTTACATAATTTTGGAACAAATATATATATATATATATATATATATATATATATATATATATATATTTGTATAAACAAGCAAAACACATTTAGAATTAATTTTTTTTCAAAATTTATCGGACTTTATTTCTTTAAAAGTATATAAAATTTTCCTTCCTTTATTTATTTTTAGTCAAAATATGCGAGATTATTTTACGCAAACATTGCGGCTAGATTTATCAACATTTGTTACGATTTAATCGCGACGAAGTTCACCAAGATTCCCGCATTTCTTTTTATTTTCCTTCTATTGTTTGCGGCGGTAGATTGCGTTCTTCCCGATTGCTGTCTGGATTTCTGCGATGGAAATTATTCCAAGAATGAACTAACGCACCTGTTTGTACAAAGCTTTGAAATTAATCAGAGAAACTGACGAATATTTAAAAAATTAACCATTACAAATTCAATATAATAATTATTATATAATAATAATAATAATCATGATAAAGATATAACTTATTGCTAACCTAATGCACATTTAAGATGAAAAACTATTGGTAAAAAGTATTAAACTTTAATGCATAGAAAAATTTATCTCATAATAAATTAAATAGTACATAGATAAAAGAGGAATTACGAGAGTTTTCTCTGTAATGTATGTATATAGGTTGTATATACATCTTTGCTTTTGTAAATTAGCGAGTTATACCGTGAAATGGCAATTATTCGTGTCATTTACTTCTCCAACAGAACGGCATAAGCCATTATTCAGCTTAACTCACATCATCTCTCATAACATTCAGAGAAACCTGGCGTTGAAGGAACTAATTTAGTTAATATAAGTATGCTGTCTTCTAAGCTGGGCAATAGAGCCAAGGAAACGAAACGAAAAATTAATTAAAACGGAACTGTATCTCAATTTGAGATCCCAAAGTTCCACATATAAATTAATTTCGAAACTTACATATGGAGAAATAAGCGAGAAAAATATAGGTCCGAACTAATTTAGCTTTCTTCGAGTGCGCGAGCTCTTGGCAAAGTTTCTGCGCTGAAGTGTCGTCGCGATCTCAACGTGTCGTCGCGCGTGCTATAACGTATCATAATACATGACATCAATGCCGGAAAGTTTTCTGACGCTTTATATATAGTGCATATCGTTCTCTCTCTTCTCTTCCCAATTTCTTGCCTCTTCCCATTTTGATTCTTCTCAGAGAGAACCAAATAGTTACACGCTCAACTAAATTCTACGGGATCCACATTCATGACCCTTTCGATGAGGCACAAGGTTTGGCTGCGACTGGCTTTTGTATCGAAAAAAGCTCTGCATTGAGAGCGCAGATCTCGCGACTTTTTCCAATATAATATCAATTCAGAGAATGGAATCGTGAATATTCTACCTACGGTTACGAGCATCCAATGTGGTCCGGGCGATGTGATGCGGTACATAGAGGTACTCTCCGCGAACTTGACGTCCTGCTTCCGTCAAATTTCCCCGACTGATGTTCCGTAGAAGTAGCAAACGATCGTCTCTCAGTAGCTGCAACAAAAGTATATACACAGTGTCTCAGAATAAAATCAAATTTAATAGCAAAGTTTTTCATCATTTTGACATCAATTTTTTTCCACAAATCTCTCCCGAAATAAATGTTAGGTATGTGTCTGTATATATAATTTTATTGTTAGTAGTTTTTGCTATAAAAGAAACAGTAAAAGAACAGTTTATATTTTATCATTGAGATTTGATTCGCTTCTGAATCAACCTGTATAGACAATATAAGAATAAAATGATCGCACGAGAGCAAAATGTATCCATATGCCGGAAATCGATAAACTGAAATAGTAAAAATTACGAGTAATTTATGAGTTTTTTGACTATATATAATATATTTTTATTATGGAAACTATCATCAGATAACAAAATAGCATGATCAACTAAGTTATTAATAGTGTTAATTTTATACTTAAATGGGTGATTCAAATAATAGTTTAAATATCTGCCAGAAGATGTGGGTTTCTGGTACCAATTTGTTAAAAGTTTCCCGTTGTTTCTAATAACCGTTGTGTTTAGAAAATTGATCATATTATTTGTTTCAATCGCATAAGTAAATTGTAAACGTTGATGATAATTATTAAATGTAGTCAGGATATTATCAATCTCAGAACGTGGAATTATTGCAAAAATGTCGTCAACATACCTATAATAAACTAAAATCTTACATTGTAAAGCGTTTAAAAATTCTGTTTCGAGATCGTCCATAACTAAATCAGCCAAAATAGGTAAAAGAAAGGAGCCCTTTTTGAAATTGATCATTAAAACAAAAACTTGTAGACTCTAAAGAACTTCAACTCCATATAAAAATTGTGATAAGCTAAAACTGGTGTTATCAGAAATGTCCGTCCAACGTTTTTCAATTGATTTTAAAACTAAGTCTGTAGGAATATTTGTGAACAAAAAAGTAACATCAAGTGAAATCAACATTTCACTATTGTCAATATTAAAGTTCTTAATTTTATTCACAAAATTCCAACCATCTTTAATGTGGGAAGCAGGTTTCAAGACTGACTTTTCTAAAATATCATGCAAAAAGTAAAGTTAATATTTTTTTAGTGACGTATTTGAATGCACATAATGTACGAGAAAATAAATTTGAAGATATAAATAAATTAATTTATATATTAAGTACTTAGCACTACTTTATTAAGGTAAATTTTAATCATAAAAAATTGAATAGATGATAAATAAGATGAAGAAGCGGAAGTTGTGAAAGAATAATACTGCTATTATCGCGTAACATGATTGCATTCAGTCGCTAACGATGAGAAAAATGGATGTACTTGAATTTGGGAGTCTGAGAGTATTATATATTTTCGCATTTACATGCGAGATTTCGTATTTAACAAAAAATACAAAAAAGAATTCTTGAAAAATTTCCGCTGCAGTACTCTCATCTCTCTTTCAAATCTCAATTTAAATATTTACTATTTTTATTTAAAATTTATGTAAGCTTTTTGAGCATGTAGAACAAAGTAAAAAGTAAAACTAACGAACTATTTTTTTTTTTTACAAAAACTGCAAAAAAAAAGAAAATTTATCCGACTATTTATAATTACGGTATTGTAGGAATCGAGAATTTATCGTCTTAAGTCCGTTTTTATTTCAAGTTGTTTGACATATTGTTATTTCTCGTGTTGACGAATCGGTCGTGGCCGAAATTTATTGTGACTTGCGGGTCTATTGTCTCGAGCCCGTATTTGTCTTGAGACAGTTTTTGTACTCTTGTTTTGCCATGCGATGGATTAGATATGCGAATTTGAACACTCGATGTGTCGCTTCCTGATTGGCTCACGCGGGGCTTGACGATGATATAAAGCGTCTCCCGAGGTTCCGGGAGAAGAGCACCGAATTCGCGAAGCCGTAGAGTACGTGGAACTGCGGATAAGTTATCTGAATATACCTATATTAAACCATTTCTCGTAATACTTTATTATTCTATCCGAAATAAGACACAATCCGTGATTCCTACAGTATTATATTTAATTATTAAATATTATAACAATATAGAGATGTAAAATAAATATGGGGACAAATGATATGTTACGAGCAGAAATATATGAAAAGAACGTAAATATTGAGTAAAATTTTAATTAAAAGATGATATTTTAATTAAAATCGTAGCAAAATATTGTTATAACTCGTTTAAATAATTAAATGTAAACTGCCATTTATATTTATAATCGTTAACTAAATCGTTTGTGCATTTTACATCTATTCGTATTTATTTAAACAATTTTTGTTGCATATGAATAAAATATCTACATACAGAAGCGTGATAAAAATCCGCCGCAAATCAAATTATTTATTCAATGCGAACGCATTAGACCATACTAACGTCAATTGTAAAGTTTATTCACCCGTTCTATCTGTAGATCCAAGCGAATCCCTGAAGAGTCAATGACAGCACAAAGAGAACGATCTGGACCGGAGCATGCTCTCACCGCACTTTCCAAGTCCCGTCGTATCTCGTCCGTTTCCCTACTCAATTCCAATCCGAGTTCGTGAGCTTTCTCACCCTCCCTCAGCAAAGATTCAGTTCTGGCAGATAACTCTTGCGTCGCTGAAACATGTAATACGATACCATTAACAGCTTACATATACTCTGTATTTAATGTTCTTATGTTACCTAACACCATTAGAAATTGACACAGAGAAATTATCCAAGTTTACACTATAAAAATCAAACGCACTGAAATAATATCTGTTTCTGTTTAGAAGGAGTTCTAGAGAAGAACATTATAATATTGATACATGTCGAGAGAAAATACACATAATGCTCGTTAATAAATGATTAATAAATTAAAATATGTGATATAATAAAAGGCCAACTTAACGAGCTTATATGCTAATAATTGAAAAAATTTTATTTATTAATTTACGTCATACTATACAAAAGTTACGATAAACGTTTCGACTGTACGACAGTCTTTCTCAATATCCTAATAATATGTTAAAAAATTAATTTAGTCATTTCGACCTCATAAATAAATACAACAATTATAAGATTATATGACGAACGCAGTATAAAATTCATGATTGTTGGCATGAGTTAGAGCGTCAGATGCTGTTATATTATGTAACGACACTGTGAACAAATTAATATATCCGCTCAAATATTACAATACATTTAGATTTTTAATAAATAGTATTAACTTACTTTTTTGTCAACGAACATAACACCCTTGTTAAAAAATTATTTCTTTTACTTAACATAATCACAATGTGTACTTTTTTAAAAAACAAATCGATATCTGTATCTTACAATGTCAGAGCGCTGTATATATACCCAATTTTTAAGATGACGTAGACAATTTTTTTAAAATATCATAATAAGAACCGTCAAGAGTTAAATTTATTTTGACTTCAACGTACTTCACATTCAACGAAACGATCTATAAACAAATACATGGAACTCCTATGGGATCGCCTTTATCTCCAATTATTGCTGATATTGTCATGCAAGATATAGAAACTAGGATTCTTGAAACTATAAAGGTTAATATAAGGTTTTACTATCGCTACGTCGATGATATCTTGCTTTGCTTGCCGGAAGATCAAGTCACATATCTAGTAGAAAAATTTAATGATTGTCACGATAGATTAAAATTCACAATAGAAAGAGAGGATAACCGTAGCATAAGTTTTTTAGATATCTCACTCAAAATTATAAATAACATAATATACATAGATTGGTTTCAGAAAAAAACATTTTCGGGTAGAACACTCTCATATCATTCAAATCATCCTATATGCCACAAAAAAAGTGTAATATATAATTTAGTAGACCGGTCAATATTATTATCACATCCCCGTTTTCATAGTAAAAATTTAACATTAATCATAGAGATTTTATTGAGCAATAGTTATCCTCTTGATCTCATTTTCTCAGAAATCAATAATAGACTGAAGTTCCTTATTGTTAATAGATTAAACAAAGAAATGACTCAAGATATAAATAACGAAATCATAAATAATGACAATAATAAAAAATTCATAGCGATACCTTATATTGAAAGAATCTCGGAACTAGTAGCATCAGAATTAAAGAAATCAAATATAACAGTAGGATACAGATGTCTAAAGAAATTAAACAGAGTCATAAAAACGCAAAAAGACAGAGATAAGCTCCAAAATAATTCGGGGGTCATATATAAGATTTCGTGTAATAATTGTGATGCTACATATGTAGGACAGACGAAAAGACAATTAGGTACAAGAGTAAATGAACATAAAAATAATATTAGATTAGATTCAGCAAGGCACTCGGTGGTTTCTGATCATATTGTAAAATTTACACACAATTTCAATTGGAACGACACAAAAATCCTAGATTATGAAAAGAATTATTATAAAAGGTTGATATCAGAAATGATATATATTAAAGAAGAAAACAACAGTATCAACCTAAAAAAGGACACCGAGCGTCTTGACGGTTCTTATTATGATATTTTAAAAAAATTGTCTACGTCATCTTAAAAATTGGGTATATATACAGCGCTCTGACATTGTAAGATACAGATATCGATTTGTTTTTTAAAAAAGTACACATTGTGATTATGTTAAGTAAAAAGAAATAATTTTTTAACAAGGGTGTTATGTTCGTTGACAAAAAAGTAAGTTAATACTATTTATTAAAAATCTAAATGTATTGTAATATTTGAGCGGATATATTAATTTGTTCACAGTGTCGTTACATAATATAACAGCATCTGACGCTCTAACTCATGCCAACAATCATGAATTTTATACTGCGTTCGTCATATAATCTTATAATTGTTGTATTTATTTATGAGGTCGAAATGACTAAATTAATTTTTTAACATATTATTAGGATATTGAGAAAGACTGTCGTACAGTCGAAACGTTTATCGTAACTTTTGTATAGTATGACGTAAATTAATAAATAAAAATTTTTCAATTATTAGCATATAAGCTCGTTAAGTTGGCCTTTTATTATATCACATATTTTAATTGTATACGAGCCGAAGTTTAATTTATAAAATATATACAGGGTTTGTCCGGAAAGTAATGCGTCGCATTTTTTTGTGACGCGACTATACATCGCAGAGCGATGGGACCGGTTGGGGAGGAAGGGGGGTACCCTTAGCTTTCCAACGGTAGGTCGCTCAATTGTTTCCATGCGCTTGGAGGGTTAGGACGGCTTATTCTGTGAACCTCTGCTTAGTGGTCGCGTCGAACTTGTGATGGAGAGAACGATAGAGCAACGCTATGCGATAAAGTTTTGCGTGAAGCTGGACAAGACGCCGCTGGAAACTTTTGAAATGCTCAAGAAAGTTTTCGGGGACGATTGCCTTTCCAAATCGCAGTCAAACAGATGGCACAAGATGTTTAGAGAAGGTCGGAAGGAGGTCGCCGACGAGGCCCGCGCAGGACGCCCGTCAACATCGCGAACGGACGACAATGTGACTCGTGTGCGCCAATTATTGAATTCAGACCGTCGAATGAATGTTCGCTTAATGTCGGAATTATTGAACTTGCCGAAAACGATTGTTCACGAGATTGTATCGGAAGACTTGGCCATGCGGAAGATTTGCGCAAAACTTGTGCCCAGAGTGTTGACCGATGCGCAAAAGCAACACCGAGTGGAAGTTTGTGAAGAACTCAAGCAACTCTGTGCAGATAATCCCAATTTCCTTCGGCCCCGGCGGACTTTTTTTTATTTCCTCGGCTGAAAAGGGAGCTCAAAGGACAACAGCTCGAGTCGGTTGACAACGTACAAGCTACTTCGACGGCCTCCCTGAACAGCATCCCAGTCAAGGAGTTCCAGAAATCTTATGACGCATGGAAATCGCGTTGGCAAAAATGTATTGACGCAGAAGGGTCATACTTCGAACAATTTTAAGTTGTTTTACCTATGCGATCAATAAATTCTTTTTTAAAAAAATGCGACGCATTACTTTCCGGACAAACCCTGTATATTTAATAAATTAAACTTTGGATATAGGACGTGAAAGATATAAACGTGTATCGTGAGGTGCCTGTAATTATAATAAATAATTATAATAAATAACAATTTGCATTTATCTTTGTCCACGTTTGATAATAATCGATAGCGTTAATAATCTTAAGACGAACTTTCGACATACTGGATATACTCAAATAGATTATCAAACTATTAGCCGAACAACTAAAAGTAATAACGGAGGGTGTAATGAAGCAATTTGTAAGATGCCGCCACCTGCCTATTAATATATTATACTTTGTCTGCACTGATGGGAAATATACGATAGCGATAGCGTGTCTCATATCGTGTCTCTGAACATTTGCCACCGTAACAGGCTTTCGTTACTCGAATTAATTCTACTACAAACGCACTCCGTCGTGAGGAAGGCGACCTTCGATTCGTGCCTCATGGCTATATTTTTAGGCAAACTATACGGCGTGTGTTACAAATTTATAATTACGATAGCGTATCTAAAAAATTAAAAAATTATAAAAAATAAAATAAAATATTTTATAGCGCATTTGTGCGGTGTGTGTGAAAAACAGACGTGTAATATATTTAATAGTCACTGCGCAAAGATTGAAACAGTAAAGTCTTTAAGAACTTCATCTCGTAGTTAAAATCTTCTTTAATTAAAACTTTCGGACGATGGTTTCATACGACTTTGCCTTTCTCTCTTATTTATGTTGGCTCGACTATATAGCTAACTTCGTTATTTGTAATACTTCAAATTTTACTTCGCAGAAATTCACGTATATATTTTCCGAAAATTATATTCTTAACTATACTATGCAATTTCCAAATAAATCGATAAAAATTATTGTCAGAAATGATTAATGAAAATAAGTTTTTATTATCAGAATGCAGAAAAAATATAACTCATTCTCTCGCAACTCTTTGATTAATAATTCTTTTAAATAAATAATATATTAGGGGATAATTATTTCAAAACACCCGGTAGAGAACACCAAACATAGCGCATACGTATGTATGATACACGTGTAGTGATTACGCAAGGGGTTGCTCGAAAGGAGATAGCGAGAGCCGTAGTTGCGGTAGTAGCTGCTAATTTAGTTAGTATACTGTTAGTAACTTGGTATCCTGACTAAGTGACACTTTAGGTTGAGAAGGTCACTTAACGACGGGAAATTTACTTAAAGACCGAATGATCTTACTAGAAACAATCCAAATCATCCATGAGAGAGACATCGAATTAATTCGTGGTCCTAAAAGCAACAGTTTAGATGTGTACTTGTACAGACATATTAATTACACACGTTTAATTAATCAAATAATATCAAATCGATAATATGTACGTACTTATTGACATGAAAGTTATCGGTACGTGTTTGATTCTCAAAGTAATTAAAATTATTTTCTACGACGAAAATCAGTCATTTAATTTAATTTGGCGTTAACATAAACGAAATTATTCATCTACATAGCTTGGTGCAATTCTCACTCTATATTGAAACGTTAAACCGTTAATGTTGAATAAATTTTGTCGCATGATGCGTTGTAGAATACGGTGAATCCACGGGAGTCGTCAGATTTATTATGACCACGCGCAATTCGCGAGGCAACGACGAATGAACGACGTGGTCGCTTCTCCATACGGAACGTGCAATTCTACGCATAAATTAATATACGTACGACGAGTACTACGCGCGACGCGTAGATATTGCAGTTATGAATATGCAAACATTCCGGGGTGCATCGCCACCTTCCGACAAACGAACTATAATATTGGCACGGAATATTCCCAGCAATATCCATTGCGCCGAATATATAACACTTGGAGTTACCAAGTCTTGAGCTAATTTTTATGCTATAAAATCTGGTAAAAGTAAAATAAATAAAAAAGAGATATTTTCTTATATCTATGTTGTAGATTAATCGTAATCGCAAAACGTGAAATTTTAATCTCGTGATTATTTACGATTGTACATATACATATATATATATATATGTTGCAGAATTTAAATAAAATAATTTACAATTTACTGCAATGCATACGATTTAGAAATTTAGAAACATAACTAAATCTAAATTTCTTAGGAAGAACATAGAAATAATAGCTATTTAAATGTAGAAATTAAAAAATATCTTGAACAGCTATGTCTAATATTACGCAACTTTAATATTAATCATCGACATATACATAGATTAATATTTTTTCAATTTTTTAATTTCTTGTTTGTTTTATTACCATTTGCTAAGTCAACCAATGCATCCAATGCCACGTCAAGTCCAGTCTCGGCCGAAAGCTCGGTTTGAACAGGTTTGCCCAATAATTCCTCGACATCTATAAAACACAAGCGAAATATTTATTATATACGCTTCTATTTTTATTTCACATATATATTTTATTAACATGAGCATTATATGCTTATATATTATACAAATAATAATTTGTGTCGAAAGCACGAATCACTTCTATATTCTATTCATATAATATATCATTGCCCCGTCAAAGAATTACCTGCCAATCAAAGTTTCAAAAGTGTCACAAAAAATTATTAGGATATACTCGTAATAACGATATTAGAACGAAAACATAAAGGACCGTAATAGAGTGAAAACGAGAAATGGATCGTTAAAAATACATCGTTAAAAATGGATCATGAACGCCTCGGGCTAACAAACGACGTATAGGTAGTATACAGGCATTGTAAATCCCGTCACGTCGGTGCGTGGCAGTAATAATTTATCCACCCTGTATCCGCATCGGTTATCGTGATCTGATAGGAATTTTGGACCGGTGTGCAGGTGGTTTGATAATACGGATCTTTAACGATATTACGCGAAATCTCTCTGACAATTAAAAATGTATTCCGTTTTAATATAGGGTAAGCCCAGGAGTTTGTAGAAAGAATAGATAATGAAAAATTCAACGTAAACGGAATATCGTATCGATATAAACGTTGCGGAACATATCGGGCGATACTTTGTAATCTCGAGTTTAATTTACATAGTATCAATTCCCGGAAATATAAAATTTTGTATCATAATACACACATCTCTGGACTATATAGAATTCAAAAGAAACACGTATAGCCACATTGCCACTAAAACCGGTATCGTTGTCGTTCCATTTGGCGTGCGGTACGTGATCTGAAATCAAGACGGGACAGGAGTGTGTATGCTCACAAGTTTGTGGTAGCAAACACGCATAGTGTCCAGTGGTTGCATTGCACTAACGAGCTCAATTTGCTCAGGATTGTTAACGTGCAGGCGACAATGGGCCCATTAAGCGACGATTACAGACTGTCGATAGCTTTCATTAGATGCATATGCGTCTCTAGTCGTGAGAAATGTCATTAGATGATGGTACCGGACATCGACGCTTTACCTCGATTTACGTGGTTCGACTAGATATATAGACTGATCTTACTAAATCACATTTATGACTATGCAGCACAGATTTAACAACATTTTAAATTATGTACTTTCAATTTAATGGAAATTTAGTATAACATCTTGTTCCTGCTAAAACTGATAATTAATTTTTAAGTTTTAAATCAACGTACCAATTCTTGTAAGGTGGATTAAAATTTAATTTTCTTAACTCTCTGCTTAAACAATTAAACAAATTCCAAAACTGGAGAGTTCTAATAATATTCTGTATATATTATGTATGTATATTACATATATAATATTTGAATAAAATAAAATGTAATTAATAGTAGAAAAAAATAAAATATAATATAATAATGCAATTACAGAAATATATAGACAGATTTTTCTAATGGTATATTCTTTCTTTTCGAAACAATTATCCTAATTATCAAGATTAAATGCTGTTGGATCATATACATATTTATCCTGCAATGCTATCGACGCAACACAAGTTAAATTAATTGGATTAGCTATAAATGAATTTATCAAGCACGCAATCGAAATATATATATATATATATATATATATAATATATAGTATTAAGAGCCAATCTACGAGAGGCAAGAAGAGAGAGAAAGAGAGAGAAAATGGACAAAAATATTCTAACCTGTCAGCGAATACATTAAATATGTGGACATATCGTAAATATAAATGTGTATATAATTCAAACATTGCGCACACTATTTAACTGAAAATATTTCGGATTGCCTCATACAGCAAGAAATTATGCTATACTAGTAAATGCCATGACATACATAAAACAACTAAAAATAATCTGACAGAACAAAAGCTTTTGAAAATTAAAATATTATATATAATTTTAAAGTTACCTTTGTCAGACTGTATGAGATATAAAAATCCAGAATTAATATTATTTTTTGCTATACATATGTATATTTTATTCATTTTTTCTTACATTTCAAAAAAATTGTCAGTATGTTGTTTTAATTCGTCAGTTACTAAATAGTTCTTAATTCAATGTGTGCAGTGTGATTAAGCTAGACTTAGATTGAAAACTTCCAAACTGTAATAAAATTCATAACATTTATAATACTCTCATTTGTGAAGTTAAACTATAAGTCGTTAAACTTCGATTTTGACTACGTTTATGCATGCAATAAATTTGCTTAAATTTGACAAATCGTGCAGATAATTTAACATTAAATACGAGCCGACAAGTTTAGTGACAGAGTTAGCCAGCTTTGCGGCTACGTTCAAGAATCAAGAACGGAGAGTCGCTTGTAACTGACTGTTACGTTGTATCAAAGTGGCAGAGTTCTACAGCAATCGAACCACAAGCGGTTCTCCGCTTTCCACATTTAACCTGCTCCGGAAATTAGTTAATCGGCCACGAGCTGTATTTCTATATTACTATTAGCAGTTATGTTACAAATGTTTATTTCCTATCCTAATAAGAAAAAAGAATTTCTTCTTTAACTAGAAGCGAAAGAACGAAAACAACGTGAAAAAAAGCAGGCAATTTCAACATCCGCAAGTAATTTACAAAGATTAAAGTATTTTTATATTTATAAGAAAAAATTCCACAGTATTTAATATATTATAGTATTTATATAATTTGAACGATTCTTTTCTTATTTTTAGTTTCTGGTGTTAGTTTTTGAGACTCTTTACACGTCGAGCTTAACGAGCACAAAGATAGAAAGTTTGGAAGCACAATTAGGACAAAGTGCAATTATAGTAATTGGTAGGATACGTGTATGATAGTACAAAGAGCATTCTTAAACATCTTAAAAAATTGTGTCACAATCTTTTTTAAAAATGATTTAACACTTTGTTTTCATTGGGAGTGATGTGTGGAGCCAATTCTGTATGTGTTTGGAATAAATTAGCTGAGACCAGTATTTTTAATATCGTAAAAAAAATTTTACTTACTGTCCAGATCTGCGAGAATCGCTTCGCTAGCCACATCCAAGCTCCTCGTAAGGCATTTTCGCAGCTGTGACGTGGCATCTACGTGATAGTCCTTTAAATCCTGCAATGCTGTCTCTACCGTTATAGGGAACTTCCCGATCCCAGCTGCCACTTCCTCGTTGCATATTATCATTGTCACCATGCAAGACCTGCGAACCACGCACCAAGGATTATGAATAACGTAGAGAGTGCTTGCTCTAGGTAAAAGGTTTTCCAGTGTCATAGCGAGATGAATAACTAGATATATATACCTACTTATAGGCCTCCTTTCCCTTCTTCCTGTCTTCATTTATTCTCGTCACACATACTTCCTCATCTAATATTAATATAACGATATTCTAACGCAAATATAGATATAAGGAATGATACACAAGAGTACACTTTTATGTGTAAAATGTAGTTATTATGTATGAAGGTGTATTTCAATTTTCTATTTTGATTATTAACTGATTATTAAAAATGAAGAATAAAAATAATTGTGCACTTTTACCAAGAACAAAATAATAATGAGAAATGTGTAACATTAATTTACAAGTCAATGTAATCACGGGAATTTTATCATCTCCCTAAATTCGCGACGATTACACACTCGCGGAATGTAATCAAGAGGGGTAGAAGAATCAAGGAACACGAATAAGGTTGGAAGTGGCGGTAATAAGTTCTCAGAGAGCGATGTCTAAGAACGAGGGAATCGTCATGGATCTTACCCGAGCGTAAAGGCGAGAATGGCGAGGAGAAACGCGAGAACACCGGGATGCTGAGAGGGTTTATAATCCTGTCTGATTGGACGACAGGCGAGCCAAAGTTCTGTGCCAGGTATTATGCAGGCCAGTACGCAGCAAACGCCTGCTAAGCCCAGAAAAGCTGCTTCCACGTGCATGGACTGTAAAAGTTGCAATGAGGCTTGTGAGAAACTTAACAGCTAGTAACATGCGCATGACGTTAGATCGCGACAATTATGTATCGCATACATCGTGTAGTACAAATCGCGGAAAACGCTTCCCGAAATGAAGCAAGAAGCAGCAAGAGAGCAGCGATGCTTCTAATGAAGATTTTCTTTAATGAATCATTCCATTGTTCGCCAGTAACTGGAATATCTCTAGTCTCTCGGCGTAATTTCGCCTTACCTTTAAAATCAATTTCATGGTGCTTATGCGATTTTCCAAGGCATCCGTCAGTAAATCTGTAAAGAGCGAGGAAGATTATAATTCTCTCTCTGCTAATTGGAAGGAAGGCGCTAATTGTTCGATAGTATCGAGAAATCTATTAAATTACTTGTTGAATCGAGAATTATTAAATGGTAGGATAAAAACATTGAATGTTGCTTGCTATACAGGAAAAATATCTTTAATTGCAAATTGCAAGTATAAAAATCAATCAATCACAGAGTTGAAACCTATAATAAATAAACTTTCAAACGTTAAATCGAGCTTTGATATGTGCAAAGTACTTTCTTCATTAAAATATAAATTATTTTATCGCGCATAAATTATCAATACAACTAAATACTTTACAAAACGCTGATGATTCGATTTTAAAACACACCTGCTGAAACATTATACATGTCTAGTAAAAGATCATATAAGCTTATTAAAATGTATATCGCAAAAACCGTTTATGATTAGCTTACCGATCGGTATGTCGTAAGGTTGTACGAAAGACAGGAAGCTTCTAAGGTAATCGAAGGCAAACCAGCCCTTATCGAGATGCAAACTTGCCATCTTGTAACGCTCCTCTGTGGCAAATTTCGGAAACTTCAGCTTCGGTTTCTCGTCCCAGTCTTTGGTTGAGGTCAACGTTCCCGGGTGCGACACGTTCGAGTTGTTCCTCGTATTGTCAAGGAGCACGTTCGTCCCTATCATGTCCATCCGGCTCTCCTGTGTCTCGTTTGAGGAACGAAGAATGAGAAAGCTGTCGGTGGTCGAGCAATTGTTACCACCCGAGGTCGAATCAGTTGAGACTGATTCTTGAAGCGTGTACGCCCTCGAGGTAGCGACGACCAGAAGGAATACTGTAAGTTTTAGAGGAGTAGATTTTACGCGATGCTGTATTATTCCGATTTGCTGCTGCCGCGCGAATAGGAGTAATAATAAATATTCATTGAATTTTAAAAATTAATACAGTATAGTGTATACATTAATTTAATTGTAGATAATATTTGACATATAATTTAAAACCGCATAAATATTTTACAAGTACTGATAACTTTATTCATTAAAAGTTTATAACTTTCTAAGAGTAAAGAATTTTTATTTACAATATTATCTTCTTATTTTAATAACACTGAAATATTATCTCAATGCATTATATTCAATATATGTTCGATATATATTTGATATATAACATCTGATAATGAAATTTTAACAAAAATAATTATACTATTCTTTAGATACATTTAATAGCACACATATATTTTTACTTATAAAATAATTAAATTAAAGAGATAGTACTTATGTACATCTACAATTTAGGAAGTTTAACCGCAAAATGTTTACTTTATCAGTTACTTTCACTAGCGAGTATAATAAACAAATAATTATTAAATAATATAATAGTATAATAATGTGCAATGCAGGAATATAAAGTAAATTTTTAAATAATATTGAATTATAATATACATATATAATATGAATTAGAACAAACTATCTAAGCGTATCTGTTAAGAAGTGAGGAATGTAAGACATTAATATCTATTCAAGATGTTAAGCGTGTTTCTCCACGGACATAGACGACTTTGCTCTTTCCTCTATCTTCTTTAACTATTAATGTTATTCCATGATACGCGCTTGAAGTCTGATTGCACTGCCTCAAGTTATGTTTAAATAGCACTGAAATTGAAATTCCAACTAATGCTCTCCGAAGATCAAACGTCATACTCCGCTTTACGCCCTCTTTAAGTCGTAAATAGGATTATAGGTTGCAATAGTATTAAAAAAATTGTACATTTAAAAAGCAATATTAAAAACTCTCTGATATGTAACTCTTTTGCTTATTTAATAATTTAACTGTATTAAAATTAGTCAAGTTAAAAAATCTCGTCAACAAAGTTTCTAACAAATTCCTCGTTTTAATATCATTTAATTTGTGATAAATTAAATTTTCCTTTGTGCGGCAATTGATTTTTAATTTTCGACAAATATATCACAAAAAGTGATATTAAAAATTAAACAGTGAATATTAGAGCTAAAGATTACAAAGCACAAAGAGTGAAGTAAATCTGCTATTTATTCCGTGTGAAACAGTGATGCTCTTTGTCGACAAGATATTGTCAGAATTAAATCTTATTTTTCTTATTTTTCTTTGTATAAAGATTTAATAATCTTTTTAAGAGTAATAAATTCAGTACGTTTCATCAAAAAATATGTTTGTACGATGAGGAGAGATGTAAAATGCTCATGCCTTGAATCACGATCATTTTCCACTTAGATATTATTATCCGACGTTTTCCTTCATATGATCATAATCAACACTAACACCAATTGCACCTCTATTGAATCACGGTTACTGGCAGACTGTCATTTCTTGTATTTGTAGAGGCTTCCATGAAATCCCGCAAGTGTGAATGTTGTCGGACGCTGGGAAGACAACGAATTAGACGGGGGTTGAACAGACGAGACCAGACAATATCGATAAAGCCAAGAAATTACACTAGATCGCACACGACGTAATTAGGTCATGCAAGATTGAGCAAATAATAATATAAAAATAGAAATGTATAATAATAATGAGAAATTGTGATAATATATTGTATTAAACGCGTATTCGTATTTATGTAATTAATAATTTGAATTGTACGATATTGTAAGCAAAACTGGAAGAATAACTACAATCATGAACAAAAAGACTAAACCAGATTAAGTTGTCGGTACTTTGTAATATATTGTGCCAGTATTCGCATCGTATATAGAACGAAAAATGTTTTGCAACATTTGAGTTTCCATTAAATTAAGCGCATAATCGCTGACTCAGGGAGTTCAGTAGTGATGAATACAAATAAGATTTTACATAAACAAAAATTAGTTTTCACTTAGTTAGTTTTTTTATGTCGACTACATGATCTTTTAACTTTTTCATCTGATGCAAACTGACATTTTTGTGTAATATGTATTAATAAAATGTTAATGCACTGTTGGGTATAATTTATTTTGTTTGTAGTCAAAACAGTCCTGTTCGAAAAAAGTTTGGAATAGAAAATCAGTTTTATCGAACGAAAGTTGCTGAAACTTATCGATAAAAGTTTTTACCTTAGTAATTTGTTACACAAGTTGTTTAATAGCAAAAAAATGGATGAGATCATTACTTCTCAATTTAGAAACTTAAAACAATAAAATACCACAAAACATTTTTGTACAACTAAAATTATTTATTAAAAATTCTTTTTATTATTTATTCATATTCAAAATATTGTATTTATTACAACAATTGAAAAGAAATTCTGTCTTTCTTTTTTTTTAAAGACAATTATATTAATACATTTCTTTTATTCTGTTGATTACTTTATTCTTTAATCACGCAAATAAATGTTTAGTAATACTTATATATAAATGCTGTATATTATTTTAATATTTAATAAATAATATTGTATGTTATAAATTAAGAAAATAAGCGTTAATAATCAATGTACGTGGTATAGTACACACATATAATACATGATACACATATGCGATATCGGTCTAATGAACGCGACAAATGTTCTTGTATATACACATACAGAAATACCTTACATATTTAGACGCATATGAAAAATGCATATATATGCAAAATTTATGTGTTAAAATATTTTTGTTCTTATGTGTGCTAATACACAGCGCAAAATGCTATTTATATATTTGAACTGTTTTATTTTTTTATATTTATTATTATTATTATTATTATATGTATATCATTATTATAAATATTTTATAATTTTTAATTTTATGTATTTTATTTTCTCTATAATTCTCTCTAAAATTTATTTATATGACCAATAGACGCTCGAAAAAGGAGCAATAGAAAAATATGAACTTCAAAGTTCTCGATATAAACATAATTAAAATATATCATCGCGATACATATTATCATTGTTTTAAATATAATCTTTACTTTAATTGAAAAATAAAAATAAATATATGTAAAGAAAGCACTTATATGTAAATTTTAAAAGGTTGAACATTCATTGCCTGGAGGTATCAAGTATATCTTTTCTGTCATCTATTCACGTACATACTTATACGTATAGCTGTTTTACTGATAAGAGTCTTGAGCCACGACAAAATGGTAGATACTTGCGTGAAAAGAATGCACGAAAGGAGTAAGAATAAAATATTCTTCATAATTTTAGGAAGACATGTAAAATGGCAAGGTAATGTAAAATGTAAAGTCGTATTAATCGTGTTACATAGATTTTTAGACAATTGGATGCTTTTTAAATATATTCTTTACAAACGCGCAAAGTTTCTTACAATCCCGACAGCTTCGTTTTGCTTGTTATTTACTTGTGAAGATGAAGAAGAGATGAATACTGGTTTATGCTAAACCGACTACGTCTGTATATAGCGATAATCCTTCGAAGAACGGGGATCAGTCGACTGTAATCTGTCTTATTGTTCACTGATATTTTTGTTCGTACAGTTGAAACATCCTTCTGTAGATTACGGGTAAACGACGGTAACTGACTTGCAAATTAAAATTTATTGTCAAACCTCGTGCCGATGATTCGCGATCCATCGAATCTGTCCAACTATCGATGGATATTATATTCATGGAATATTCTCGCAAAATAACTCGGAAAGTATTCCGAGAGTACGTCGAAGAATGTATTAATAGCTGGAATTTTCGTTTCATCGGCGGCTGCTCATTTTGCGTTTTATTAGATAGCGTTCAGAGATTCACATCGTGACTCTGCAATACGGTGACTCCAGTAGTATAATGATAATGAAAGACATTGCAAGTCTCGCTTAAAACGTGTAGTCAAACGATGAGAAATAAACCATCCCATTTGCACTGATCTTGCAATATCTAACGTAATTTTGCGAATCTTGTCTAGGAACTTTAGACATATTCTTACTTCAATATTTGCCCATTTATCACAAAAGTTTGCTGAATTGTGACTGTATATTTGCATACAGAGAATTGATATAAATATAAGATAAGAATAGATACGTATATAAAAAAATTAAGTTAACTCGCGTACAGGATAGTTATGTTCTAATATTACGTATAAAATTTTCCATATTTTAGAAAAGTCCTTAGTTTCGCATAAAGTGCTTGAGCGTTGAGCATTTTTAATTTTTGGTTCTTTCTTAGTGCTGCTATATACTTTGATCCCGAACCGCAATTACAGTATTTTTAATGCAAAAAAGCATAATGTATTAAAATACAAGTCCAACATATATTTCTCAAATATATTATGATTAAAAGAAGTTATAGATAAAAAGAAATATCGTGTTGCTGTGTGCATACGTGCATATTCAGTAGTTCTATTTACATTTTTTCTTTCACGGAATCTGAATCGCCGCGCGCAATTTGATCCTTTTTCTTGGATCGATAGCTCTCGTTTCTGCACGGTTAGACTTGTGTGGACGAACGACGATTTCAAAGATTCGAATCCACTATAGTTGCTTCCAGTATGTAGTACTCGAATTGGGTTGGCTTGCTAGCAGCGGTGCCCAACCGCGGCTAAATCATGGCGGACAAAGCGCAAGATTACTTTCACCGATGGCAAATGACTGGGTGCTTGGCACTCAGACCTATTCCATCAGTGAATAGGTTCTTTCACTGTTACCGGAAGGTGTATACTTGGTCTCTTAATTGGTTGTACCGTAATGCGCGTCCCATTTCTCAAAGCAGTTCTCTTCTAAAATACGGGTAATTGCATGATACGGCTGCAAGTAAATATTTCCACGCTTCAATGTTCGCAAGTCACATTTTTCAGTGCTGTAATATTCTGTATCAAAAAAGAGATACATTGCGACTCAATTCAATTTACGAAGAATTTTATAAGAATCAACAAAGTAAATTAATATGATACATAGTTCTTTTATATGCACATAATTTTCATTTACAGATATATTCCAAGGAAAATATTTTTTCTTCTGCAATTTATTATAAGTATCCTTTGTAAATACTTACTGCTGTGTAATATGTATACAATAAGGTAATAATAATATTTGTTAAATGTCATATATGTATAAGTATCTGCCTTTTATAATTGTATTAATATCATGTTATAAATAAATGAATATAAATGTTAATCTATTATGAGAGAGATGACTACTTTTAATATTTTTTATAAGAATATATAATGTATCATTCACATAAAACAGTACGCAAAGTATGATATATTAAACAAAGTTTAAAATGGCTCATTTATTGCACGTAAAGTGGTCAGAAATATATCATAACGTCTACTCTAAAGAAAGTAGGTACCAGAGAGCGATTATTAATGCGTATGAGTATTATCATACATTATATGTTGTTATATGTATTTCTCTAAATATTATGTTGCAAATTTCTATAAAGTATATCAGTTGTTATATAAAATCCATTTCCTTTATAAATTGCTAATTATAATTACGTAGTCTTCACTTGCAATAACAAATTTTGGAAATAATTATTTTCCGAAATAATTAAAAAATGTGACTTGCGAATATATCAAAACAGAATAAATAATAGCACACAAATTAATTTCTTAATTGCATTATAAATTTAAAAGCGAAAGAAAAGAAGTCTCTTAATTATGATTATAATTAAGAATATAATTAAGATTACAAATTGATATAAATCATGTTAGGTAACTACATAATTGTATATTATTATATAATATAGTACTTTAATATTCTTTGTAGAGAAAAAATAAATGAAAAAAAAATATATATAATACATGTAATTTTTTCTTATAAAAATTCCACGTTTAAATATGAACTCTTGCATTATTTAAAACAATGAGCTGTTTACGCGAATAGTAACTAAATAAAATTTGACTATGATGGTGCTCATTAATAAAAGGGATATTTTCCACATCTTTATTCACTACAGTTACTAGATGTATATTTCATGTATGTGAATGTGTTCGTGTGTGTATTTCATTATTACATTTTATCTCATTATGCATTTAACTTTCATTTTAGAATTATAAACACTTGTTAGAAGAAAAAGGAACATGATATAACATATTATATAATATGCAGCCTCATTAAGGAGATTTCGTTATCGTTGTGATTATAGAACACACCCTCTCTAAAATATATATATACACAATATATATTTTTTTAATTTTATGTTGCTTCTCTATTTTCCGTGAGATTTTGTTTTTAGACAATAAAACTTTCAACGAGAGTATATTTTCTGGAGGATATATCTCCGATTCCCTAAGATGAGCTTTGTTATTCGAGCGTTTCGTATAGTCGTCGAAAGTGTGTCGCGTTTCCCTCTCGCGCATCGAAGATCGTGCGCGATTCTCGATCAACCGAGAACGAAGATACATAGAGGGTGTCCGCGAGCGAGGGTGCGTGGGTGGATGGATTTTGGCACAGCGGGAGTATGTCGGTACAGTTAGAAGATCAGGAGACTGGCTGCATTCTCTCTCTCCCTTTCTCTCACACACACATACTCTCTCTTTCTCTCGTTCTCTCTCTCACTCTATCTCTCTCTCGTTTTCTCCCTTCTCTCCCACCTTTTCATCCCTCTCGTATTCTCTTTCTCTCTTGCTCAGTGCGACTACTGTCGGGAGCACCCAGGCGGGCAGTCAGTGCGTCGTCAGCCTCCGCGTCGTCGCGACGCTCCTTCTCTTTCTCTCTATCTCGTTCCTCTCGGCTCTCTCGGTGGCGTCCGCAGCATCCGCGTCGCGTTTCGTCGACTATTCCATCGAAAGAGACACTGTTGTTCATTTTCCTACGATAAATACAAGCGAAACGAACTTAGGGGTTGAAAACGATCGCAATATATAAGCTGATATAAAACAAATAAAAATAATAATACATTTTTATCATCATCACTCGAAAGTGTTTCCTTCGATCCACACAAGCAGAAAAGGTATCGATAATCATAATGGTAATTTTAAAGAGTAACCAAATTTTGTATTTTGTATGATCTTTTTTATCATAGAAAATTTTGTCAAAAATGTATGAAAAGTTTTTAATGATATATGTGTCATAAACACTAAAAAATTTTGAAATAATTATTTTATATTTGCGATTATAAAACGTGTTTAAAACATATTAATATTATGCACAAAATTTTCAGAAAAATTTGCAAAAATTTACAGCTTTAAGAAAAAGTTGCAATATCTCCGTCAGTATAAATTCACAGAAGATTGAAAGAACTGTCCACTCATAAAAAATTTGTTTCTTTAGTTCTTCTTTTTCGTTGCATATTTTACATTAAAGGAAACGCAATTTGCAATTTATTACATCGACGTGAAAATTCTTTGTCTTAAACAAAAAGAGACGGAGGAGAACGAGATTGAGTGATGGTAGTACATGAATTTTCTACAGAGAAGTTATTAGAGACGAAGAGACGACTTTTTTGTGTTAGAATGGTGAAAAGAGAAGCCAAATCGTGAAGTTTTACTAGACGTGATCCATCTTGGTGTTCCGATGAAGTGATCTATCGATTTTTGTCGCGGAAACGTACATCAAGATTCTTCGTCTCGAAAAGTCACGCACGAGCGTTTTTCACCCCTTGCCTTCCGGAGCGTCGCGCACTCACTCAAGCCTTATCGGCACTCGTGGATTTACTACTGCCGAAGTACGTATCTATAATTGCTGCAATTGAAGCTGAATCTTTTTTCCTTGCATACCTTTCGAAATAAGAGAACAAAATAAAATAGAATGAAATATTTTTCTATTAATTTTACAACACAGAAGTAATGTCGTTTTTATTTCACCATCAAGAGATACATTTTCTGTCTCATGATATACGTCGTAAAAGAAAGAAATAAATTGATATTTATATTCTCTATGTATATAGCGACGTATTATTTGTAAATTTATTTATCAAATAAATATAAAAGTACATTGAAAAAAAAATTTGTTAACTTGACTAAATTTTTCAATTGAATTGTTACTATTTTGTTAATTGAACATATATTAATATTTGGGTCAAATATACATTTTGTGTTTAATATGTTATATTTCTCCCGACTGCTGCCAACCGTAGGTTGGCGAAAAGAGAGGAAGTATGCGTTTCATCGAGCCCGGATCGGTCGTGACCTTAATTCTCGATAACTACTGCATAGTTTTATATCAACTTTGGAACATAAGTTTCTTATTAATCAAGGAAGGTTTAAAGCGTATTATTATCGTTATTTATTCTATTAATAAAAAGTGAAAAATGAGTATTATTTCGTCAATACGGTCTCTCATTGGCTGCTGTGTGAACCTAAGAGGAAAAATGATTCACCAATGAGATTCGTTGTAGTATCCGGATAGGGAATGTTGGTGACATTGGTATATACATCTCGAAGTAATAATGACGGGACTGATAGGATAGGTTAGCTGTCACCTGTTGCGTGTTATTGTCAACAACAATATTAAGTGAAGTGTATTATTATGGATATATCTCAAGAAGATATAAATAAAGGAGTAAGTTTCTTCTTTTATATTTATTGTTTTTTTCTTTATTTAGAATATTGTTATTATTATTTATTTATTGTTTCTTTATTTATATGTAGGAAGAAGATACTCGCTTGAAGATATCTGAAGAAGAAAACATTATTAATAATAGAAAACGAGTAAGTCTTGTTATTAATAATTAAAAAAATATATAATATAATTAATAATATAATTAATCTGTTGTAGTCATAACATGGCTATATGAATTTATATTTGTCTGCGTAGCCACTTATTTGCTATTAAATTTGCTACGTAGCCACATTGCTATAAATATCCACATATATAATTGTATAAATGTATATAGTTATTTTTTCTCTTATTTGTATATTATATAATAATTATATAATTAATTAAAAATATGTATACAAATATATTTATAGTTATACAAAGATATTAGCGCACCAATAATTATGGCAATGCAGACAAATATATTAACTTACATAGCCAATTATCTACTACAAAAGATTATTCACATATGTAATAATAATTAAGGCTATACAAATATATAAACTTACTTGTGATTACATAATGTATAAACTTATATAGCCATAAGAAAGTTAATATATTTGTCAAAGCCATAATTATAACTGCGTACAAGTTTATGTATTTGATATAAGATATTGTTGTCATCTGTCTTTGTCATCTGTCTCTCTCTATCTATCAATCTATCTATCTAGCTATTTTTTTTTATTTATCTCTCTATTTATATTATATTATATTAATTAAAAAAATTGTAGCAGAAAAATATTTGGAAAGAATATAGAACATTGCAGTCACATGGTGAGTGTATGTGTGTCTTTATTATTATTATATTATTATATTATATACATTGTAATATATATATTACATAATAAAACTTTTACATGTGTAGGATGAAGAAGCAGAGAGACAAAAGAATGAAGAAACAGCATAAGAACAGCAATAAATTAGAAAATAAATAAAAAAAAAAAATAATAAAAAATTAGAAAATAAAAAATAAAAAATAAAAAACAAAAAAAAAATAAAAAAAAAAAAACAATTAGAAAATAAATAATAAAAATAAATTAGAAAAAAAAATTAGAAAATAAAAAATAAATTAGAAAATAAAAAAATTAGAAAATAATAATAAAATTTTTACAAAAAAAAAACTCCCGACTGCTGCCAAAAGTTTTAATGTTTAAATTAGAAA